GGGCCGAGTTAAAAATCCATTTGTCGGGGAGACGCCGGTCAGTGTCGCGCGCGAGATTAAAAGAGAGATACCGACGCACACGCGGGGCAAGAAAGAGGCAGCGCCATTTTGTCGAAAGGAGGACCGACGACGACCTCGCGGCTAGCTTCTCTCCCGCATATAATGGCAGTCGAGTTGCGTGCGAATGTACAATTTCGTTCCATCGTTACCTCGGTCGATCGAGGGGTCCGTCCTGTTCGCGAAGCCCGAGAAACAGGGCGGAAGGAAAACGAGGTGCCAGCCCGCCGGTATACGGAAAGATTTTCGCAATTAGGCGAGAGAGAGGAAAAAACTGACCTGTATTTAATATACATAAAAAACGCATTATATTTGAACATCGTAACACGTATCGTATACAACGCGATGAAACTTTATCTCTCGCGATGTTAATATCCGCGTGAATCTCTCGCATAAATTCACTACTCACCGAGCTTTATGCAATGTATGCAGAATTTTCACAATACTGCGTGACCCATATGAACATATATTGTTGTACGTGTGGATAACGCTATCACACTTAACTCGTTAAATGCAACGAAATTGCTCAGATAACGTATATACTTTGTATCTTCGTGCGAAAAAAATTTTTGCATTTTCATTCAGTCCATCGACGTGCATTTTTGCAAATTACAAAGTCTTACGCTCTTATATATACCAATGTATATGTCGTCGTTAATTTTGCACATTTATTGTACACATTTAATTCGCATGTCAATTTTTACTTAAAGATAAGAAAAATGTAGGAAACAATAACGCGAGAAAGAAAGAGAAGCTTAGTATGTCGGAAACGACTATATCGAAGTCGAAGGCTAACCTGATAAGGAGAAAGACGAGCGAGGCAAAGCGAACGTTTTTATAATCGCCGCAATTATCTACAAGACCAAAGTCGGGCACATATATCTGTGTGTGTGTGTGTGTAACCTTAGCGCGCAACAGTTTCAAGGGGCACCATCACTTCTTATCGGGGCACTGGCTGCGTGCCGGCGCAGTTGCATGCGGAGGCTGATAAACAAATAATTAGCATTCGAAGTAACCCGCATTCGTATTATCGCTGGCATCGTTCTCCTCGCGCCGCAGGGGAAAAGCGTATATTCGAGTAGCCCTTCGTTGATGTATCTCTCTTTATATATATATATACTATATGCACTCGCGTTAAGAACTCAAAGAGCAGGTTGACGTGCAACGGCATTCGTGCTACTCGCTACATTTTACCCGACTTGTATACCTGGACAGGGTAATTAGCGCGGTATGGAAATCACGTTCGCAACACAATTCGACCGTTCGATATCTAGACGCGTTTCTTTTCCCGCGGAATGTTTCACGTGTTCGCGTAAGCGTATCGAGATCGTAAAAAGAATGCCATCGAGATTGTTTCAGCCAGAAGTAATAATGCCATTTAAAATTATAATTCAATGGTATATATTCGCGTGTATCTTTAACACGATGCACGATTTGCATGGTAATAATAATTACATTACTTACTCCAAGATAATATGTATTTTATGAATAATTTTATAGCCGACGCTTTTCTTTCGCGTGAACGAAATATATGTGATAAGTAAATCGATTATATTTCAAGATTAATTCAGAAATTTCCCTGTAATATTTCGCGATGGATTTTCATGATCTTTTTGTATTAAATTAATACTTTTTCTTCGCACAATATATGAAGATTTATGAAGAGAACATCGTATTATAATTGAAGTAAAATGGCAAACAGATAGAAATAAAAGCGAATATATATATATAAGCATTCTAACTAAACGTTTAAAAAATAAAAATGACAATACGCGAAGGGACCGACAAAGTGGACCGATATCACTCTGGTTGGAGATCGCTCAGTGCAGGTGGATCCAATCAGAAACTCGACCATGCCGGCAGGTGCTCTCGCAGGAGATCGCGGTCAATGGCTCTGTCGGGAACGACCGGACACTTTTTACACGGAAAGCAGAAAAGGGCGCCGACTAATTTTGCGCGGCGTTCCATTACGGGACTCTTCTTTCGCGCTCGTTTTTTAATTGTCCGCGTAATTCGACGACGACTTGAAATAATTTCTACGCCGTTCTCAACAAACTTCGCGCGTATGTTTTTCTTAAACATACGCGCACAAAAATGTTGAACCCGCGTGAAAGAAATTTTATTCAATCAGAAGGGAAGAAATTCTTTGTTCCTGCACGCTATGAAAGGGAGTGGAATTAATCGAATTCACCAAATTCTCGACTCGATGTCTTCGTTAACGCGCACCGATCGTCGCCTGACGTACGTGAACGTGAGGGTTCTCTCTTTCTCTCTCAGACAGTAAGGGGAATGAAAGTTTGACACGGCCGTCGGATGCGGTTCGCCACGAAGCTCGACCGGTAGACACCCCACGGTTTGTTGCTTCGCACCCTCGCTGTCGGGTCTTTTACCTCCCTCGCATTCAGCTGTCACGTGGCTCGTGCTCGAACGATCGCCGGCGTTTCCGCTTTATTTTCCGCCGTCGAGCGCCGGCTCGATCTCGTTAAGGATCACGATCGGGGCCGTTTCCGGCGTGTTCGGGGCCTCGTCACAGACCACCGAGGCAATTGGCGCGACGACGCGAATGAGTTCTCGGAAAAAAGGATCCGGCGCACCACACGAGAGGATTCTTCGTTTTAATTTATGCGCGGCGTAGCTCGGGGCATTATTAGTCCTAGCTGGCTACGAGGGGCGTGACGTCACGCGGCTAAAACAAAGGATCCTACCGGTGCCCATTTCACGTCGGTTCCCTTTCAAGCGCGCCGACAGGAGGGAGACTCTCTCTCTCTCTCTCGTCGAATAAATTCGGTACACTCTTTAGGCTTCGTCACAGCTTCGTCGTGTATCGTGCATTTGTTTTTCCGTTTGCTCTCGAAATGAAATCGCTCGCGCTCGAAACTGAAAAATGATTGACGAAAGTTACGAAAGAGAGAAAACTTGTCGCTGGACAGCAAAAAAGTGACGATAACTCTGAGACGTGACGGGAATGAGCTAAAGATTACGAGCGATGGAGGCACGAGGAGTGTACGATTCCGCGATGGAGACCGGAGGGAGCTGATCGAGGGACGTCGTTGTCTCCGCAGGCCACTGTCATATTGTCCCGGCGGATCGATACGTGGCCTGCCTACAACCTGCACTCATCGAGCTTGAAGAGGGCGTGGCTCGTACACCGGCGGAGAGACACTCAACCCCGTTGCGATCTCCGTTGCCGCGCGTTAGCTACCCACCCCTTTTCGACGTAAAAGCGGGAGAGACGATTTCGTTCCTTTCGAACCTAACCCTCCTCGCGGTTCTCTCTCGCCCTCCGCGATCTCCGAGAGCGTCGACGAGCGCTCTCATTCGTCGAGAATCTCGTAACGGGGATGAGAGAGAGAGAGAGCAATCTCGCACGGGGTAGTTTGGAGATTCCCTCGGAATAATGACTCTTGCTCGATACTCTGTACTTTTCCGCGTTCGAGTATAAATTACAGTAATTTCGCCAGGCTTGTATAGTTTTCTACAAAAAATAATTAGTTGCATCCTCAGGTTTGAACGCTTAATTATTCAGCTCATTATTACTCGTGTTAAACGTTAATAATACCACCGAGTCGCGGAGGATCTTGACGTTTCGCACACGAGCGCGTGTTGAATAACGAGACCGCGTTATACCAATATCGATCATGTTACTCCCGAAGAAATATGAGCGCGATATTTGTTGTACGCGTTGATGAATGATCGGAGCAACCGAGTAGAATTCTCTTCGAAGGAAGAGCTCGGTCGCGACTTTTCCATTTCTCCTTTTTATCCCCTTCGTTACTGCCTGTTTCTGTCTCTCTCTCTCTCTCTTTCTCGGTGCTACCATCCTGGAGGGGTGCGTTTCGTTGTCTTTCGCCGGTGTTGTTGGCGCAAGGTTGAATCCACGTGGGGGCGTGTCGCCTCGATGGCGCCGACTGCTAATGGCCGCGCGGCCCTCCAGACCTTAATTTCCTGCCGCTTCCGCGGACCCTCTCGCTTTTACCTCTCCGAGTCCAAATCCGTTCCCCAGGACCTCTCTTCTTCAGCCTCCGGCTCTTCGGTAGCCGCCGACACTCTCCTTGTCCTTTCATCCCCCCGCGAGCGATTTGCATCTTTCGAGCTGCTCTTTTGATGAAGTTCCTTATCTAAAATCCCTCGGTCGGCTGCTGCCTGTCGTCCGCTCTAATTTTTAGCTCGCGCGCAAATTGCGTTCCCTTTAATCCCTCGTGCCGCGAAAGAGAGCACGAGTTTCGTAATTTTCTTGCAAAGGCACGTTTGAAATATTATCAAGATGTACCGAAAATTGTGTTATTGAATTTATTCTAATTTTATGCAATATATATATAATTCCTTATTTACGTGTTATTTAAAGCGAATCGAATTTGATGAACGTAATTTCGAGCCTCCTAATATATTGCACCGTGGAAAACATATGTCGACCTTGTGCTTGGTTCGAGACAACAATTTGCATGAAACCGGCGGCCTAGGTAGAGCGATCGGGTCTCATTACTTTTAGCGACTAATCTTGGATCTCTTCTAGGATAGGAGCGGCAATTTAGTGTCATTATACGCCCTTAGGGGAAGACTTTCTTCTCTCTCTCTCTCCTCTTGGGCCGGGACTTCTTTTTAGATCGATTTAGACGTGGCGGCGATTATGGGCGTCCACCGACCGACAGAATTCGATATTACGTACCGCGCTAGCACGAAAAAGTATCCCGATGGATCCGATGGTGAATCGATACGTAATTCGGCCCAGAGTTGTTATTACCGATTTGCGTAATCGCGGCCCGATCTCGCCGAGATTGTTCCATAACGAGTAATTCCGAAAAGAACCAATAATATGCGTTAACACATTTTAATTAAACATCATCCTATATATATATCACATCATACATTTCTCTAATTGCATACAAAACGGATCAATTTGTTCGCAATCACGACTGAGCGCAGCTTTAATCGCAATGTTACAGGATCATCCGGGACTACGAGGCACGCCTCTCGCCATGCTGGCGGCACAGTGCAACAAGCTGAGCAGCAAGAGTCCGCCGCCACTAGCGGACGCGGCGGTAGGCAAGGGTTTCCATCCTTGGAAAAAGAGCCCGCAGAGCAGCGGAAGTTCGCCGCAGCATAGCAGCGGCGGCGGCGGCGGCGGAGGCGGCGGCGGCAGCGGCGGGTGCACAACGACGGGAGTGAGCCAGAGACCGGCGGCAACGAGCAGCGCCGGTAGCACGACCGGAGGTTACGCCAGAGCGCCGGTGACATCGTGCGCCTCGACCGCGCCGCAATACGGTAGCGAGTTGTACTTTCCGGGAACGGCGAGCGCGCAACCGGCCGGCGATCCTCATCATCATCAGAGCAGCCTCCTAGGGAAGGTCGAGGGCGCGACCTTGGGCTCGGTATACGGCAGGCATCCGTACGAGTCGTGGCCGTTCAACGCGATGCCGGGCGCGACTCACAGCGGGATCAAAACGGGCGACGGTTGGTGGGACGTGCACGGGGCCGCGACCGCCGGCGGATGGTTGGACGTGAGCGGTACCGTCGGCGTCGGCGTCCACGCGGCGCAAATGGCCAATTACTCGGCCGACTACTCGACGAGTCTCGCTCTGGCCGGCAATCACTTGCTGACGACGGCTACGACCGCCGGGCACAATCTCCTACAAGACACGTACAAATCTATGCTACCGGGCGGACCGCCCGGATTCGGGCTCCATCATCACGCGGCCGCGACGGCTGGCGCCGGCGCCGGAAGTCCACAGGGCGGCGGCGGTGGCGGCGGAGTCGGGGGCGCCGGCGTCAGTCAAGCGCCCTCGCCACGCTCGCAGAGACGTTACACCGGTCGCGCCACGTGCGATTGTCCGAATTGTCAAGAAGCCGAGAGGCTCGGTCCCGCCGGCGTGCACCTCAGGAAGAAGAACATCCATAGCTGCCACATACCGGGTTGCGGCAAGGTCTACGGGAAAACGTCGCATCTGAAGGCCCACTTACGGTGGCACACTGGTGAGCGACCGTTTGTTTGCAACTGGCTTTTCTGTGGCAAGCGGTTCACACGTTCGGATGAGTTGCAGCGGCACCTTCGAACCCACACCGGCGAAAAGAGATTCGCCTGCCCGGTCTGCAACAAGCGGTTCATGCGCAGCGACCATCTCGCGAAGCACGTCAAGACCCACAGCAGCAGCAGCAGCAGCAGCGGCAGCAAGGGCAAGGGGGGAGCGGGGAGCTCGTCGGCCGAGTCCTGCTCCGACAGCGAGGACAACGGGAGTCAGCAGAGTCCCACTTCCAGCTCGGTGCCGCAGCAGCAGCCGCAGCCGCCGCCGCCGCAGCCGGCGGCCCAGCAGCAACAGCAGCTGGCGGCAGCGGCGGCGGCGGCAGCGGCGGTGGCGGCGGCGGCGGTGGCGGCGGGCCAGGACACCACCACATCCCCCCAGAACACCACCACCACTCTCGGCCATCAGCCGACAACACCCATGACCCCAATACAGATGACCCCGCCGCCTCTGACCCCACACCATCCCCACCACCCGCATCTCCCACCTCTAATGCACCATCCTCATCATCACGCAACCTCCGTCCCGGCGGCGGCCCACCATCCGCACGCGGGGATGAGCATGCACTGAGCCCGGTGGGGCCCGGAGCCGGTGCCTGCAGTACCGCTGCCGCAACGGCCCTGGGCTCCCCCTTATCATCCTACCCCCTCAATCTGAACCTAATGCAGAATCACGCGACCATTAATCCATCGGCAATCGCCCATCATCACCATCAGCAGCAACAGCACCAAAACCACCATCACCACCACCATCATCACCACCACCAATCGCACCAACAACAACAGCATCCGCGACAAAACAATTCCTACTCTGTCTCTGTGCAACAAAATCCTGGCACGCCGGGGACCGCGCAGACTCCCTCACCCTCGTCCCCAGCGCCTGTACATAGTCTCTAAGTACGTTTACGAGCGCACCGACAACCACCGCACGTCCGTCCGGCCGCGCGTTTTCATACACGCGGGCACGAATAATATACACACGTAGACACGAAGATATACACGACATCTCTGGCTCCCCGTCCTGCTTCCGAATATGGAAAATGGTCCCTCCCCCCACGCACACGCGACTTTTCAGGATTTTTTTTTTTTAATTGTACATAATATATATATAGAACGCGTGAAAGAGAGGGAGAGAGAGAGAGAGAGAGAAAGAGAGAAGAGAGAGAGAGAGAGAGAGAGAGAGAGAGAGAGAGAGAGAGATGATATATTAATTAAGCGGTGTAATGTTGTGTGTAAAAAAAAAAATAACCCGTATAAATATATAAATATAAATATATATATATATATATATATATAAATATATAAATATATATATATTATATATATACATATAATGCACTGTCGCGTTGTACCATACACCGACAAAACACTTCGCGCCCCGCCGACTCTTCTCTTCCGCTCATTTTCGGAAGACAAGAGACGGAACGAATCAAGAAGGTAAATAATTAACGACCGTGGAGTATGGACACGGACAGGTTCCAAACGATTTCATACCACGCAGGGCCTTGAGCATTGTCTAATGAGAGAAGAGAGAGAGAGAGAAAGAGAGAGAGTGAAAGTGTTTTTTCCTTAGTGAATTTGCAATTCTTTCCAGGCAATTTATTACGTTTGGAACTTGGAACGACGACTCATATCAGCCCACCCTTCGGATTTGTAGTAACGCGCACTATTATCAATGAATTATTATTATTATTATTAATTATTAATTATTATATATTAAATATTAATTATTATTATTAACTCTTTTTCTTATTACTGTATTTTATTATAAAAATTATAAATTCATTTTAAAGTGAGAAAGAGGAAATAAATAATGCTTTTGTGAATAATGATTCTATTCGATCGAGTTCCATCCATGAAATTCGTCCTTGTTCAATCGAATCCGTCCGATTTTTCAATCGAAAAACCTGTGAAACGAAAATCCCCCATCTATTCCCGAAATGCAACTTTACTGCCAATTATTGAGAAATAATAATTCCTCCGTAACGTACAGGGTGCTTCAAGCACCCTGTATTTATAATCTCTTTTTATAACGTCTGTGTCACGGGTTTTTCGATAATAATTTAATTTCTAATTTTAACTAATAATCCATCTATAGGTCTAAGTATTCGCGAGGAATTAATAATCATTTTATCCGATGTTAAAGATTGCTGCCAATGCATTAAAAGACTTCGAGAGCGAGGAAGCACGAGCGGGACACGAGCTCGTGGGACGATATTATCGCACGGGCCGTTAAATCCCGGATCCTGCCAACCGTGAAATGTCCCGTCATAACATCGGGTCTCCCTCGCTCACATATATGGGTCGTGCAATTTTATTTTCCCGCTCCGGAATTTTATTCCGATCCTCGCTCCTTCGGAGATCCGCCGATTACGCGACGACGGGCGTATAGCTCGAGCTCGTGAACGCCGACGGAAATGCGTCCGATACGTGCTTCGGCTCTCGATCTTATTAGCGAGAATGACTCGGCTCGGCTCCTCTCGGGCCTAAACAAATGGAGTAGCCGCGTCACGCGATCATTACGGACTCCTATAAAGTCGATTCCACCGAGAACTCCGGTCATAATTGATGCGCAATATTCTTCAAACAATGACAGGAGTCACTCGCGTCGCGAGAAAACTGCACGTTTTTAACGACAGTTGACATAGAGAAAGAATTTCTCAAAATCACGGATTGAAATCAAATATTTGCGCGAGTTCAAAGAATATTATTTCAATTTCGCTAAAAGACGGGGATGAAAATTTCCTCGAATACGACATTCGACGCAGCGACGTCGCGCAATAGACAATTTTCAAGCACGGCGCCGTAAACTGGATCAATATGGCAGAGATTACGAAATAAGATCGTTATGCAAAACAGTCGGAGGGGTCGTGCCCGGGGTTACGCCGCAGCAATTCGTAGGGGGTGGGAGTGCGGTTAACGTATAGCGGCAAGCATGCAAGCCCGGGGGATGGCTTTTTCGGTGATTTAACCAAGGAGGGTGAACGTTTGTTATTCAATTTGCAACCCCCTCGGTACCAGCCACTGCGCTCACCCCTCTATCCACAGATCATCGCGCCTTTACGACCATAGCCGTACGTTTCTAATGCAGGAAGCGTTTCTCCTCGTTTGGGATATAGCGATTGGTGCGGGTATTCTATATGCTCTGTTTCGACGTTTCATTCTACCGCACTTACGTAACTACTTTATTCCCCGTCTCATTCTTCTCGTTTCGTGACAACTTGACAATGATATTATACGACTGTCTCTTTCTACACTATATCTAAAGGCATTACGGTTCAAGGTTCAATTTAATTATAATGCGCGCAATATGCGATAGATTTCATGGTTATACTCTACTTTTAAAAGAAACTTTAATTAATTTTTATTTTAATTATCTTTCGTCCTCCTTTTGAATTGCATATCACATTATATACGCTTAAGATACGTCGAACGTAATTTCACTTGTCATTCTTGAAGAGAGACATTTTTAGTAAAATAGAAAATATATATTAATCATTGTTATATATTATTATATATAACATATCTTGAGTATTTTTTCATGGAAACATTTTTGAGGAAAACAATTAATTGTTCTTGCAAATAAATCTAACACAGTATAAATATAATCGTATTTGATTAATTCTAGAATACATTAATAATTATTAAATTTCCTCGCAATTTCCGCTCGCATTTATGTGTGATATACTTATGCATATAAGCGCGCCCCAATAAATTAAAGGGACGGATTCTTTTGAAGAGAGATACATACGTCTGTTCTGCTGACTTGCGAGTGAATAATTAGGCGCGTGCGAGTGTCACGTCCGCGAGATCGTTCTCAAGACTCGGGGGTCATTAGATCCGTCTGTTCTTTCGAACGGCGGTTGCGATAATAAAGGTCGCGCACCGTCACTAGACAAAGACACCGCTGTGCGATTAATTTCACGGCGGTGCACCCCATCGCGATACAATTGAAACGAATGGAGCGGCGGGAGTGCTTTTATGAAGCCGGCGGAACGACACTTTGCTCGTGTGCATCGCGTTCATGATTTATAAATGGATCACGAGTAACAAAGATGTAGATTACACAACCGGGAAATAAAACGTGTTTAGAGAGCGATACGATATATCTTATATACTTTATATTTCTCTTTCTCATATATATTAATGTTATCTTATAAAATATTGGAGTATCTTTGTATGTATACATTTCAGTATTTTACAGATTATTCATTAATGTATGAGCAAGATATTTATTTATTTTTTCATGTAATCGGTATATTATCGAAAAGTTGTGGTTCATTTTCAAGTTTGCCTACATCGATTTATGAGTTGCTATAAATATTCCTTTGCTCCACGTATTAATATATGCAGTTGTATAATATTAATTTTAATAATTAAGAAATATAATATAAAATGAACATAAATATATAATAATTAATAATAATAATAATATAATATTCATTATTAATCTATATAATATTGATTAGTATAAGATAATTATATAGATTCAATTTTTTTAATTCATTATACCAGAAAAACAATGGGTAAGTTTCTATGGGTAAGTGATTCTTTTTCATATTTTATATTTTAAAATTCAATAATAAATCAATTTCAAAAACTAACAAAAATACAATCAATTTAACCGATCAAAATAAATGATAGATCAATAGAGATAATGTGTTAAGTGGAGAAGAAAGAAAACTGAATAAGACTCTAAAATTCGATACTTTGTGACGTCGGCAAGGTTGGTGAAAAAATGTGAACAAAGGAGACCGAAAGGTTCGCCGTTTCTCGCCCCTTCGTGGTCTGTTAACAAATCTCATGATCCTAACGACTTGACTTTATGTATGGGGATACTACGGTTTCATATTTACAAAAGTGAAACCGCTTCTTTTTCGAGCCTACCGCAAACTAGAGCCACTAATAAGGGAAAGTGAAACGCATCATTCTTTTATAAGCAAAATTTTAACATATAATCCATGAGAAGAGTGGATTTACAGTATTATTTTGAAAAGAGTAGAAAGTTTTTTTGCGAGATATTTTACAAAGATATCGTAAAAAAAAAATAATAATAATAATTATCGTACCGTGCAATCATTTTTAGATTCGCTACAATATTATTCGTGAAATTTGTAAATGACGAACGGGCGGCGACGGAGCGTAATCGATTTACCGAATGTGCCAACAGATTAGTACGCTAATCCGAACCGGTTGTAAAGTCGAAGAGAGGACCACAGAAAGAGAGGACTAACGAGGCTATGGTTAGACCCACGGTTTATGGACATATGGTTAACACAGTTACACGTAGTTTGCTTGGAAAAGCCGAGGAGACATATGCGTGAGCGTGAAGCTAGTAACGCGTTTCAAAGCCCGCCGTTTTCGGACACACGCAGACACGCGCGTCGCACACGTGCTCGTATGAGAGAAGCACGCGAGTCCTGTTACCAAAGTGCCGCGCTCTGGAAAAAGCTATGACGCGATCGAAAAGCCGGGCGTCTGTAAAATCAACTTAGATCTAGATAGAGATACGAGAGTCCTTTGAATTTTAGAAACCGCCGATCCTATTACCGGATATATGTACTGTGACGAGAAAGTGTAATTTATTATCACGCAACAGCCGAAAAAAATCCTACATGTGCGTGTGTATATATGTATATGTATATGTAGGGTGATTCGGAGTTAGGGATCGCTGGTTAATCAGGACTCGAATTTTTAAAACCTGAGACAGATGTTTAATGTTCCATGTTCGGATTAATTAGTGGCATTTTTCAATAACATTTTCAACAGTGTACGATTGCGATTTAAATTTAGACTAAATATCAACACTTTTTTCATAAAAATAAAAAGTTCAAAGAACATTTGTAATCTTGATTCCACAAGATGCTTTGTATAATTAATTGCATAATAAATGAAATGTACCTAAAAATATAATTTTATTTAAAATTTCATTTTTTCTCTAAAAAAACACTTAATTTCTTTCGTTCTCATTTTTCATTCGATTGATAAAATTGAAAAATTTTAATAAAGAAAAAGATATATTAGATTAATATTTTAGAAATAGATTAAAAGTAAAATACAAATTCAAAACACGCTTCTTCCTATTTCCTGCAATATTATTTTAGTGATCC